CAAAAAATAAAAAAATAAAACATTTAAGCCATTGAACGGAACCATGACACAGAATGAGCTCAGCAGTCCGGCGATGCGACGTGCCTAGTCCCTAGTCCACGCTCCTCGATGTCAAGTGCAAGATAGTAGTCGCAGAGAGGTGCTCCTTATCGCGGCGAAGCCCCCGGGGGTCCCGAAGGAAGTAAGGAGAGGGGGGGAGGGGGCTGGTGCTGTCGTCGCCGTGTGCAGCGCGGGGCTCCCATGACACTTTGGAAAAAGTCTCATGCTTTTGGGGCTTAATTACGCAAACGGCGCGCGGGTCCGGCTGGGCGGCGCCATCGAGCTGGCCGAGGACGGACATGTGGCAGTGTGGGCCTAGTATGGGCCGGCCATGGGGCGGTGCCGCCGGTGCACGCGCACGGGACGGACGGGCAGTGCAGAGGATTCCCTCCTGTAAGCTGATGCAAGCCGGGCTGACGAGGGTGGTGGTGGTGGTGGACAGGGGGCAGTGTGAGGGAGGAAGGCGTAGGGTAGGGGTGCGGAGCTTCCCCCTCTCCCACGCGTCATGATCCATGCGGGGGGAAAAGGAAAAGGGGAGGGGGGGGGGGTAGGCAGGGTATCGACACAATGTGCGCTGAAGCTAGAGAGCCATCAATACTCTCCTTCTGAAACATTCAAGTGAGTCATACCGGGCAAGGGCAGTGCAAACACTGACGGCTAGCGCACTGCCCCCCCCCCTCTTTCATGTCATTCACATCATACCTAATGAGGTGAGACAGCTTGCAGCTTAAGCAAATTCTGATCCCAAGTTCATGTGCATTCAACAATGTTTTCTTGCTTAGATTATCTTCTTGGGGGCAAATTAAAATGTTAATGTACTGGTGACGGGGACCTAACTTGCACAAGTTGCAAATTGTCTGTAATGACCCTCCAAGAGGCAGAATATTGGAGCCTGAGCACTGAGCCCTTTAGTCCCCGATTGTCCAAGAGACTCCTGCCTAAAAGACCCAGTCAATCCAAAATTAGGAACAAAGCCTGTAATGACAGCCCTTGATTTGGTTGCTTGAAATAATCAGACACATATTGCAAATAATAGTTTTTCAGCATTCTCAAACAACATATCAGTGCGTCCCATAAAAAACTAATATAGGTTGAGAAGCTTGACCAATAATGATATTGAATCTGAATTTCAAAAAAAGATAGGTGCATTGTCACCTTTATGTTTTAACAAAAGTTAATAGTTCGCTGGACACCAAACTATTGACTAACTAACTCAGTAGCAGACGTTGCAAACAAATTTTACACAAGACAATATATCTGTCTTTGGGCAATACAATTTCTTAACACAACTGTCAATGCAACAGCCCATTAATGACACACCATTTATTTTAACATGAGATACGAGTGACAGGACAAGAACTGGGGCGTCATGCAAAGATTAGCGACTCTTTGTTAAAAATCCAGTCCTTTGACATACAAGCAGAAAGAATAGGAAAAATACCATTCAATAAAAATTAAACATAATTAATAACCATTCAAAGGATTGGAATTTAAAGTTGGTGCAATAACAAGCAGAACCTAACCTCGAAACTGTGTAGAACAACTACATAGGTTACGCTAAATGTTGTCTTTCTAGCTGTCGCTGCATGCAGCATGTTGCAATGAGCCAATGGACCCCTAAGCCATCATTACAACCTGTAAATTCAATGCTACATGGTTTCAGATACCCAAATCGAACTGGTCAACCTGGCCCAGAAAACACGTCGTCTCTCACAGCGATGCCGAGTCGCCAGGTCGTCTGGTCCTCGCCAAACGAAAAATAAACCCAAGGCCACCGAAATCCCAGGGTCCTTGAGTGTGCGAGCTCAGTAGGGCGGGATTACCTCGAAAATCTTGAGCAGGAACTTGACGTAGAGCCTCCGGACACCGAGGGACTTGCCCATGGAGGCCAGAAACATGAGTCCGACCAGAAACATTAGGCATGGTGTGAGGAGCAGCGATGCGGAGACACTCAGGATCGTCCACAACAACGCCATGGCGTTCACCAGCACAACACGGGCCACAGGATATCCAAACGTCGCCCCCGACGGCGATCCCTCACTTTTTGGCGTTCAACGCACTTGGCGTCGGAGCAGCGAAGCAACGTCCGTTCTCGTCTACGCCATACCAGGTCTCTAGCGCAACTGCCCACCAACTGTCATGCTCCGCTACC